TTTATTATCTCTTTAATCCCTCTATTGTTTGTAAAACTGCTTTTGTTTCTTTAATTGTTTTATTGTCCTTTTACAATATCTCTAACTGTTTTATTGTTTATTTAGTTCTTTTATTATTTCTTTAATTCTTTTATTGTTTCTTTAATTCTTTTATTGCCTTTTTAGCAGTTCTACCGTTTCTTCATTGTGTCTTGAATGGATTAACTATATCTTTAATCATTTAATTATATTTTAATCATTTAATTATATTCCGATCATTTAATTATATTTTAATTATTCAGTTTTCCTTCAATTAATTAATTATTTATTAATTATCTAATCTCAGGCCTCCGGAACTTAAAACCTCCACCATCTTTCAAATCTCCCTTTTGCCTCTTCAACATATTTATTTTAATTGATCAACAACCCAATTAATCTATTTATTTACTTATTTATTTTTTATTTATTTATTTATTAATTATTTATTTATTTATTTATTTATTTATTTATTTATTTATTTATTTATTTATTTATTTATTATTTAAACTCAGGCCGGCGAAACTTAATCCCCTCCGTGGCCATGGGCACTCTGAGTGGCGACCCTGTGGAGGCCATTCGGGTGTACAGACAGCCCACAGTTCAGTTCCGAGCCGACAGACTTTTGGGGCTGCATGCAACTTTGGGTTATGTGTCTTTGGGGGCCCCCCAGTTGTTGGCGAACTTCCGGGCCTTCCTGGGGGCCCTCAGGGGGGCCCTCCAGGGGGCCCCCCGCGCCTCGGGGGGGCCCCCAAAGGGGCCCCCAAAGGGGCCCCTCTCCAAGCTCGTCAGGTGCATGCATGTCTGCACCACTATGGGGCCCTCAGTTAAGGTGGACTTGCGGGGCTTATGACCCAATAAACCCAACTCACAGACCCCTTTGGGGGCCCCCAGGGGCCCCCGAGGGGCCCCCAGGGGCCCGTCAGGGGCCCCCAGGGGGCCCCCAAAACGCACTGATGGCCTCTAAAAGCTCAAAAGGACCCACTTATGCCTTTTAGCGCTTTTAAGGGGCCCCCGTGCCCTCGAGGGGGCCCCTGAAGGGCACTGAAGCCCTCGGGGGCCCCGGAAGGCCCAAAAAGCCCCTGGGGGCCCCAAAAGTGTCTTTAATAGAACTCTTTAATCTTCTGGGGCCCCTTAAAGGCCCCCAGAACCCTCGGGGGCCCCCAAGGGGCCCCCAAAGGGTCTTCAGGCGCTGAAGCAGCTCAGGCCGCAACGGTGTAGCCACTACACCCACCAGCCAGCGGGATGTGCAGCAGCAACAGCAGCAGCAGCAGCAGCAGCAGCAGCAGCACAGGCTGCTGTTGTTGTTGCTGCTGCTGCTGCTGCTGCTGCTAGTGAGCGCAGCAGAAGTAGCCTGGAGCGCCTGAGCTGCGCAGCCTGCGGCGTGCTGGCTGGCTGGGGCATGTAGGGCGGAGTAAATGGGAATTTATTGAAAATTAAAATTAAAATTGGATTATTTGTTTGTTTTAATTAGTTTAGAGTTCGGCAAATTGGCAAACAGAGGCGCAGGGGCCCCCGAGACCAGTGGAGAGCCAGGGGGCGGCTGCTGCGGTCAGCTGCGGACGTGCGCAGCTGCTGCTGCTGCTGCTGCTGCTGCTGCTGTCGGTCGTTTTGGCCCATTTGTAGCTTCTTTTCCGTGAAATTAAGTGTTTTTTATTGTAAACAATGCAGTAGTTGATTAAAATCTTGTTCAGACACAGCTGTTGCGCGTCGCTGGTGGCGTGCAGGGGGCCCGTGGCGCAGCCGCCAGCCAGCCAGTTGGACTGCTGCTGCTGCTGCCGCGTTTTTCTGTCCTTCTCGCGGCTCTTTCCTTTTTATTTACTTTAATTTTGAATTTAAAAGCTTTATCGCTCCTCTTTATCGCCAAAGAGGCCCCCGACGCGGCGCTCCCCGCCCCCCAAGTGACCTTCGCCATGGGCGGCGCGGCTTGTCTTCTCTTTCGTTTGCCTGTCTCCCTCTGCAGCCCTTAACTCCCTCAAGTTTTTAAATGGAGCAGCAGCTGCCTCTGGGGTGGCCGCGGGGGCCCCTGGGCGGGGGCCTCTTGGCGCGCGAGCAGCAGCAGCAGCAGCAGCAGCAGCGGCTGCTGCAGCAGCAGCAGCAACCCGGCTTCCTCCACAAACAAACCCGCACTCGCAGCCCCTTCCCCGTCGCTGCTCTTCGCCTTCCTCTTATAGAGAACACAGACTCTCTAACGGAGCAAATGCGGCGGCTGGAGTTGGCCCACGCGCTGCGGCAGCAGCCCCAGGGGGCCCCTGCTGCTCCCAGCAGCAGCAGCAGCAGCAGCAGCAGCAGCAGCAGCAGCAGCAGCAGCGGCAGCAGGAGAGGCGCGGGGCCTGCAGCAGGCCCCCTAGTGGGCCTTTCGGAGGCCCTGCTGCGCTCCACAAGCTGCATCCGCCTGCCCCTCATAGAGGGGCCCCCCGAGGGCCCCCACCAGCGGCTGGGGGCCCCCGCCCCTCGCCTGCGGGGCCCCCGGGGCCCCCGGGGC